AAAAAATAGCTACTAATGGTAACACCAGGGTTCCAACCAGGGTCCATCCAAGGCAGCCTCTGCTCCCAGCGCTATCCTACCTTATCCTCCACAGGATGCAGAGTCTGGGTCGGTTCTGGTTCTGAGTACTCCCATGAGGACCGGCCTATCTGGCTGGCTGGCTGGCTGGCTAGGTGCCCCCACCTCTCACGGTCCAGCCCTGTGCCATCCCACCACGAGCTGCTATCTTCATCCCAAAGCAGAGCCTTCCTAGGGAGCAGGGAACTGTCTTTTTTCCAAAGGGCACAGAAGCAGATGCACTTTCTGGCTAAATTCACCAGAGTAAAACTTTATTCCTCAAGCATCTGTGTATAGCTAACTGCAGAGCCAGGGTAAATAAATAGAAATACATGAGAAATACGATTTGTCCTGATTAACCAATATGTAAATTTAGCAATGCTTCAAATTACCCTGTACCTAAGCTATGGGAAACCAAGAACTAAAAGTATGTTTTTAAAAAAATGTTCCACATTAGTACTTTCCCACAGGACTATGGGATGGTGAAGGTGAGGGCGTGAGTAGGACTCAAAATCACCTGAAGCAATTTTCACAGTACAGGTGTCTATTCTTCCCAACCCCTCAATTCCGATATTACACATCTGGTGGGAGTGGGGAGGGAAACATGCAAGAGTCTGTGGGGGGAAGAGCTGGGGAAGTAATTTGAAAATGCTTGTCAGGTAATTTTGAGAACCAGCAATACTACTGTCCCAAGCGATACGTTAGACGGTGTACATTTTTGTGCCTACACGGAAAGGAGAGAAGGAAGTACTGGCAGGGAGGGACAGTGCGCCATAATGAGCTAAACAGGATCTGGCAGTAAAAAGCTTAACAGCAAAGGGCCAAACAGCAATAAAAGAAATGTTTAAATGAAAAGACATATAAAGTCAAACAGCACAACAGTCTGGACCATTAGCTGTGGGGCAAGTCATCTCGGAGATTCCAGTAGCCCCTGAGGGAAGCACTGTGTTCCTGGATAATACCGTCTTGGATACAACAGTGCTGAAATTAAAGTGTATTTAATAGAAAGTGTTCAAGTCAGGGGAAAGGTAAACATTTTTAAATGCATTTCTTTCTAAAATGGCGAGGCTCTGCTTTGGTCAAGATTCGCTGATTTTGAATGTCGACTTAGGTGAAACTGCTCGATGACAAGCAACATGGTTTAGTTGGGAAATGGAACGTGAGTTCCGGAGTCACACATTCCGTCATTCGGGAGGTTTCTTAGTCTTCAGCACAGGGAATGTAGTTGAAGGGAGGAAGAGAGGAGCTTTCTCGGGGAGAGTGTGCTGAGTTTGAGGGGAAGATTGGCAGCTTGCTAGGACAGATTCTGAGAATCACCAACACTTCAGGGATGGCAGAGGCGGGGAACCCTGCAAACAAGCTGCAGGAGTGATCACAATCTGGAGGAAAGCCTGAAGAATGTAGTGTCACCAGAGACAAGCGAGTGTTTCCAGAGGGGGAAGTGACCCACTGTGTCAAATACTGCTGAACAGTAAAGTTAAATGAACAACTGAAGAGTATCCTCCAGGCAGGGTGAAATGAGAGGTCATTAGTATCTTGGTTAGAACAGGTTCAAGAGAAAACAGTAAACACCACTCAAGAGTTTTCACCATGAAGGGGAAAATAGAAAGGGAAACTTAACTGGGTTGACAAGGGAGGCTATTGATTGGCATGTGCGTTTTTTTAATGAGTAAGAAAAACTTAAGTATGTTTAGATGCAATGGGGATGACCTAATGGGGAGAAGCTGAAAATACAGGAGAAAAAAAAAAAAGACCCATAAATGGAGCAAGGCCTCTGAAAATGTGGGAGGAGATGAGGGCTGTGGCACAACAGAGGGACAGGCCTTAGGAGGAAGGAGAAAGGGCGGAGGCCGAGCTGATGCAAGGACCTTGAGAGAGTTTCTGTCAAACGGTTTCCATTTTCTCTGAGAAGTAGCAGGTAGGTCGCCTACTAAGAGTGAAGGTGCTTCAAGGTGAGTGGAAGGATTAGAAGTCTGATGAAAGCAGAGATTTTAAATCATCACCATGGAGAATCCAAGAAGAGGAATTAGAGCCCCCACCAGGCTCCTCTTCGAGTTCATACCCTAAACTGTGGATCCTTGTAACCATGAGAAATGATTAGGATCCACTCAAAGCCAGATTTTAAAAATAGGATTCTTTCTTTTGTGCTTTAATCAGTGTGTTACACACCTCAATGCACAGAGGAGAGGGACCTAGATTTGAGCGTGGAATAGCCCGGCAGACATTTCCATCAGCAAATTCCAATAAATCAATTTTAGGCTCATATTTTAGTAAACAGCTAATATTAAAATATGACACTGAAAAATACAATATGTAATCAAATTGAAAACCGAAACTAAGACAAAATACTGCAGTGGAAAAAGTCCTAAGTCATTGCAGGTTTCTATTTAGAATTAAATTTCTAGTATTAAATGTTCCTTTTCAATTTGTCTTGGGTCAAGAGGTTATTAACACCATAAAAAAGGGTTAATAGAAAAGTATGGTCTAGGACAAAGACATGTTATTACATTTTGCATGAATGCCTGTTATTAGGAAATTACCAGTTCTTAAAAACAACCATTCCTAGTTCATTAAGGGTTTGCCAATTACATCAAAATCCATCTCCTATTGTATTTTATTTTCCAATTAGTAGTATTCCAGAGACAAAAGCACAAGTTATAATATAAATTATACTTCTATATCTACAACTCCAAGTCATAAAGGGCATATAGTTTTTTTATCTTACTGAATCACAGAGAGTTTATTTCCAAATTTGTTTTAACGCTTACTCATTTTTTTTCTCTTACTCTAGCCTTAACTCTTAACTGAAATCTGTGACTAAACGCAGACAAGCAGAATTAATATATAAGGGAAAAGAACATTTATTTAAAATAGGCCTTTTCAGAATAATTGCAATTGGCCAAAACACACATGGACCATATAAAAAGGAACAGAAATCAAAGCACAAAAAGATATTCGTGAACTGTCAAGAATTTAAACCTGGCAAGGATGAAAAATGCTGATGAGTATGGAGGAACGGGTAAAGCAATGAGAGTGGCCTTGCATTTTTTTCCAGCTCTTTCAGAACTGGTATGTCCCTGATTGCATTATCCTGGAACACAGTGATGGTCTCAGGGACTGGTGAAATCTCAGAGAGGACTTGCCCCACAGCTACTGGTCCAGGCTGTTGTGCCATACTTCCTGTATCGCTTTAATTTAAACACTTTTGCTATTGTTGTTTTGCCTGATCCTTTGCTGTTAAGCTTTTTAGTATCACATCTTGTTTTGCTCATTATGGCGGCATTGTCCTTCCTTGCCGGTACTTCCCTCACTCCTTTCCATCTGGACACAAAAATGTACACCGTCTAACTTATTAAGAATGTGCAGGAATGTAGCTAATATTCCAAGAGAAAAGACTACATTTTCCAGCTTCACTCGCAGCTACATGTGGCCACATAACACAGTTCGGGCCAATGAGGTGTAAGCAAAAGTGTAGTATGAGATTTGGGGATAGGACAGGCCCTTCTCTCCTGTTGTCTAGGAGATGAGGGGAAAGGCTGCAGCTTCACTGTCTTAGACAATGAAGTGCCCTTGAGCATGAGAGTAGAAGACAACATGTTTTAGAAATGGCAGATAAAAGCAGCGTAGGTCTCCAAGAACTTTGTGAGGCTGCCTCTGGAATACCTACGTCCAGACTTTAATTCTCGAGCGTTTAAACCACCTACTGAATCTTTGCTACATCACAACCCAAAGCAATTCTTAATGGAATTAGGAATTACAAATGATAAGATAGATGGATCAATGAATAGAGTCACAGAAAGATATCCATAAGATATTGGTATGTGCAATAAGTAGGTTAAGAAAAAATACAGTAATTACAATCCTACTTTTAATTTAAACTTTTCAAAAGTGTGGGAGTTGCATGTGTGTATATATAAAGATAAAAAAGTCTGGAAAATTGCACATTGCAGTGTTATCAGGGGTCATTTCTAGGCGATGAGATTATGTGGAAGACATACTTCCTTTGTTACTGTTTGGAATTTTTTATTTTAACAGTGAGGAGGGGGCCAGCTGAATGGCTCAGTTGGTTAAGAGCTCGCTCAAGAGTGTGAGCTCTGAGCAACAGCAGTTCGAGTCCTACCCAAGCTGAGTTGCCGCTGAGCTGCCAACAGGTGGCAGGATGGCTCAGCTAAAAAAAAACAAAATAAACAGTGAGGAGGTACAACCTCCAGAATTAGAATTAAATATGTCTTTTATTTGGTATTTACATATCTAGAGAGACAGTATATTATTCTAGCTTTATCTTAAGATATGGTTCAAAATTTTTAGTTAAACTACTTGTTATAATGATTTTTTTGAAATAGAGAATTATATTTATTTTAGTACAATGATCTCTAGTACACAAAATATATTTAAGACAGAGGTAAAATCTATTTCTTTACTATCTAATTATAAAAACAATAGCTTGTTACTGGAATGGGCAACATCTTATTGTAATCAGTGATAGTAAATCATGAATCTCAAAAGTGAATATTAAATAATATTCATAGGAGCTATATGCAACAATGTTACAAGGAAGAGCGGACTTAGACTTATTAATAATTCCACATCCTAAAAACCCACAAAGATTAACATAAAAAAGGGAAATTTCTTCCATCATAATAAAATAAACTTTGAATAAAAGATTTGCCTCGAGTGGTTTATGTATTGAGTAACAAAACAATACAGACTAGAATAAGAGTTAATAATCTACTGCATGGAAATAACTATACACCTATGCACTCAAAAGGATCTAAAGAGTTCATACAGTTAAGGCATGTTTTCTCCTAGATTCAGCCTCTGATCTGGTGACTTGTAATCTGGGTTCAGTAACTTCTAAAACATGCTGCCTCTTGCCAGATCCCCACCATTTGATCCACTAGGGAAGAACTGTGTCTCCCTTTTAGACAAGGACATGCACCTACCTTCCCATTGGCCTGTCAGCACCAAGGTCCTATTAATTACCACATCGATTTCCATAGCTCCGTCTTCCACAGCCAATATGATCTCTTGTAATCGTGTTTTCAAATGAGTCTGTGCCGCTGGAAAGCCAGTAGCCACTAGTAGGGAGAAGGGGGGAAAAAGGAAAAGAAGGAATTGCAATTCATCAGTATCTCAACAAAGAATTTCAGACAAAAACATCAGCATTCAGATACCAAAGCATTCATGACACATAAGAACTACACAAATATCCTGAAAAGCTGTGTGAAGAAACAGAATGCTATCTTACACAGTACTGGTGTCAGGGCAAACATTAGTATTATATCCTCTAGAAGACCTGAAATTAAGTTGCTTCAGAGATGCTCATGAGGGTACTCTGAATGAGCAGCAATTAAAAAAACATGTTACCATCACACTGATGCTCATAAAACAGTAGCTATAGCCCTGTCTTATGGGCACTAATATTTCTTTACCCTACTCTTGATCAGTTAACCATCTCTGTATCCTTGATTTTCCTTTCACATTTTTAGCTGTTGTAACCAAACTGCAGTGTAGGCTCCTCCAACTGCCTATCTTGAAACCACCTGCCAAGAAGATGAGTACAAAGGGAAAAGAATGCAGGAGGAAAAGCACCTGATTGGTCCACAAAACGTGGGCAGGGGCAGAGCAGGGAAGAGCAAGGCCAAGTATAGACAAAAGGAAAATGAAAACACAATTACACTTTTGAGAAAGGATTAACATCTTTTTACATATGCATCATTAATTCCATTCTGGTGTCTAAAGGTAATCTTTTGTGTTTCCTTGATGTTATTAAATTCTTTGGGTCTGCTACCTTAGAGGAAAGTATGTTTCCCTGTTGTATAAAGGAAAAGCTGAACTGCCTGAGGTTGATGAAAAAGTAAGGTCCATAAAGGTGCAGATGCCAAATACGAGTACTTTGGGAATCTTCACAAATGAGTTGTATATAAATACTGTACACTATGTTTCTTTTGATGTAGCTCTAATAAAATTAATGATCTTTATAGACTCCTTTTTTAAAGCACCAAGATATTCCTCCAACACCTTTTAAAAGTAGAATCTAATTTTATGTTCATCTATCCATCCAACTGGAAAGAGGGAGACACACACACACATACACACACATTTACAATGAAGCTTTTCAAGAGACTTTTCTTTCCCTCATGCCAAGTCCTAATGTGTCAATCTTAATAACGGTTGAACATACCCTTTCTTCTTTATCTTCCAAGCTTTGGGATGGCTCTCATCATCTCCCGCATGGACTCCATTTCATCCTCTCTAATTTGTCCACTACCATCCCCTAACTCAGTATGTCATGAAGCCGATGGTGGCCTGCCTCTGCGTGATACCTTCCCCATCACCAGGACACAGCCCACGTGCCACAGCCTGGCGTGGTCTCCTGACACAATCACCAGCTTCACTTTGTCCCACCCGCCTTAGGATCCAACAGCTCCAAACACTTCCAGTTCCCTGAACATGCTTCTGTGCCTTTGCACATGCTTGTCCCTCTGTGTAAAACGCCATTCCCTACCTTTTCAACGCTGTCAATTCCTGGCCCCTTAAGAGCCAATGCAGTTACTATCTCTTCTGTGAAGTATTCCCTTGCTCTCCTGGTGTCACCAACCTCCGCAGAGTAAATCACTCCTTGCTCAGAGTTACAACTGTACTTCCGCATATCTTTATTATTATATCTTACACATATATAATATACTGCATATCCAACATTATGATTGTAACTTGACTATTCCTCCTAAATGACTAAGTTTCCTTAAGGACAGGGATACAGTTCTGTATTCTGGGGATTGATATAATGTTTGCTACTTTAGAAAGCAATTAATAAATACTAAAAGAATGAATAAATACAACCAATTAAATATATTAAAATAATAGTACAAAACCATATATAACCCTCCACAGTGTCTGGGTTGAAGAACTGGGAACATGTTGAGAGCCAGCTGCAGAAGCCACCCCCACTGTACCTGATGCCACTGGGATCGTACAGCCCGCAGCCTTCAGTGCTTTCACTGCATCACACACGCGGGCCGGGTAGACACAAACGGCAGCTGTAGTGATGTCTGTGAAGAAAGAAACCACAGTAGCCTTCTGAATGTGAAGTTCAGTGCGCACAATATGCTTTTAATTATCATTGCGCTCGCTTCGGCAGCATATACAATAACTATTATTTATTGCACAACATTAGCAGAAATCAAAATGAGAGGGGGAGAAGAAAAAAAGTCCCCTACGATGCTGCCACAAATTAAAAGGTTTTTATTTTCCACACTCCCTTCTAGTTCTTGAGGACATGGGTCACTTCCTCATTACAGTCCTAGAATAAAACAATTGTGATACGTCGTTCTTTGAGGTTAACATAATACCACTTTTTAAAAATTCCTAAATAGTAAACTTGGTGGGCCTGCCTCGATGAACATATTTTATTTCATGTAAATAACAAAATCCAGATCTTTACAGCATTTAAATAGACAGTGGATGAAGAAAAAAAGCAAGTGAACCTTACAGGGTAGTTAGTACAGCAAAATGACATTTAACTAATCCTATTGCTTCTTTTACAAGAAATAACAAAATAGGAATCTGGAAGCCCCATTTTCAGGAAAAGCTGTTTCATTTTTTTTTTTTTAGGAACAAGCTCTTAAAAATAGAAACTGAAAAATCAAATTGCTGCGATCAAACAATAACATAATTGCATAAGATTCACACAAAGTTGTTACTTTTTTAGACCCTTTCCCCCAATCTATAAATGGGTGGTATTTTTATTGTCAACTGAAAAGAAACGTCACAAATATTTTTCAAAAGCTGTAGAGTGTTTTAGGTCTGTACATTATCTACAAATTATTGGGATAAAATACCTGCTTTGGGCCAATGCAACACCTCCAGTTGCCATCGTTACAGGCAGGCACTCAGGAACCATGAAGCGACCCTTCATGGAAAGACCTGGCTCCTAAAACCAGCCCAGCAAGTATCAAGGCATGTTGCCTTGGAAATACCGCCTCACCTTCCAAGTCTCAGTTTCTTCATTTAGAAATGAGGGGGTTGGCTCTCAGGGGTCTCCCCCATTTCTAAAATGTTAAGGTTCTAAACTTACGGCAACTTCAGAAAGTCCTTTCTTTCATGTATAACGAGAGAGTGAATATAACTTTTTTTCAAAAGATCTAACCTAATATGCAAGCGTGCAGTGTTTCCCATCTGCATTTTATTCTCAAAAGTATTTCACTTATTCACAGAAAATACTTTATGTATGAGATGTGATTATTAAGTAATAAGACTGGCTTTTCCACATGTGGTGAGGGAATCAGGGTCCGTATTTTAGAGTCACTAGATAGAAAATCTCCAAAACTGAAGAACTAGGAAGAAAAATCAAGAAACTCTCAACCAGCAACTTGAATCCATGATGGAAAAAAATGACCTAAAAATGAAACTTAAGATTCTCTCCCTGCAGTTTTTCAGAGAAGAATCTCAATTATTTGTCTATGTACAAAATTCTATCATGGGTTTTATTGCTGCTCTCATTTTAGCAACTGAATCTTGCCTTAAGTCCTTTTAGATTTAGTAACGAGTGTTGTAAAGAGGTAAACACCAGACAGATTATATGCAACATTACCTTTATCGTGCATGTTTAAAGCTTTTAAGAGGTCTTCTCGGATTGGATACTTGGCTTTGTAACAGAGCCTTTGAACATTGGAGGGTGTGTCATCACCTGAAAGTGTAGTAAGATCTATAAAGGTAACAGCTTTCAGGAGCCAAGCAGCCTGGTTTGGAGAAAAGTAAAAACAAGGTTAAACAATTAATGTCCAGCCCAGTTAGTAGAGAATCATTAGACAAACATGCGTGCTAAAATCTGACATCTATACTGTTCTAAAGCATTATTATCATTCAGATATGTGATATAAATATTGCTCAAGAGTGACCAACAACATGAATATTACATAGAATATAAAAGGGAGGAGAGGAGCCTTAAATTATATTTTTCTCTCTCATAGATATTGCAAATTGAAATTCCTAATAGATCAAGTCTCCCCACATCTGTCTTCTCCATCTCATTCACAAGGAGCCCCTCGTGGCCACCTTGACATGGGAGAACGTCGGGACAACAGCATTTCTTTCTTACGTTTTACCTCCAGCCCTGGGATCTGGGATGAGACATTGTAAAAAGAGTCTCTAACTTCTTTGTTTCAACTTAATCCAAGTCCATGTTTTAAACAATATTCACATTTCACAACTCATTCAGATGAATATCCTTTGATCTTTTCAATCAGAGTATTTCCAGGGATGAACAAAATGTGAGATGTGACCCAAAAGGATTCAATCACAGTATTTTGCACCTCTTGTGAAATGCACTCTGAATTCCTTTTAGTCCTGCGATGTATAGCATGTCTTTGGTTGGTATACAGGGAAGAATATGCTTACTACAAGTGCTTCCCGAAACATCATTTTTTTTTATTTTAAAAAATGATTTATGAAAATTAATGCTGCTTACCACAAGTACTCCACGAAACATCATTTTCTGAATTTTGAAAAATGATTTATGAAAATTAATGCCAAGGGAAACACGATTGTCAAAGGAGGTCAATTATTATACCTAAGGGCCTCAACAGTGGGTGCACCAGGTTTAGATGTTACGGTTTGAAAATTAAAATAGAAGACAACCAAAGAAGGTCTGTCTAAGAAAACGAATAAATGTGTTGAGAAAATATGCCATTTAATTCACTCATGAATAAAGATGCTTCAAATTCATTTGCGGCTTTGCCACTCAAGAGTGATAAGATTTTTAACTTGTTTGGATAAATGTGTTATCTTTCTCCAACCCATCATCATCGTATATGAATTATTAAAATAAGTCATGGACAGCTGCAATCTTTTAAGTCTAGATGCATCTTGAGTGAAATTCAATATTGTGGCCTTGAGGGAAGAGCCCAGGCATTGTAAACTACAGGCACAGAATGCTCGAGAAGAACCCTTACCTGCCACTCCTTTTTCACGGTTCTGCGGGCCTGGATTTGTTCAGCACGCCTCAGAACTGCCGGCTGATTCACCTGTATTTTGGAGATCCAGCTGAGGTCTGAAGGGGAATGAAGAATACTTTTTAAAACTTAAAAGTTTTATTAAACATATTCACCTATTTTTTTTACACGGTCCTTGACAGGACGTATTTATTATTTGCCATCAAAGCTCTTTTAAGGCTTATGTTTCTTTTTCACACAACTACAAATAAATAACCTTGTTGAAGGAAGCCCCGTCATGAAGAGGGCTGCTTCATGTAAAATTAAGTACATTTGGAACTAGAAGAACCTGTATCGATTCATTACATGGGTCTGTCTCACAATGGGGGGAAATGTTCACGGAGATTCCCATGCCACATGTCTCACTTCTGACAACAAAGACTTACGTGCAAGTGCCCAGTCCAGGGGAGCAAATGATTAATACGTACTTAAGTGAACTAATGTTGGGGCTTAAAGGAATCCTTGATCACCACCCCCTTACTGACAAGACTAATATCTACTAGATGCTGATCTGATACAGCCCATCCTTTTCTCAAAGGAGAATTTTTCAGAATGTATTCGAAATTACAACACCAATATAACAGAAGTTACAAAAAGGAAAACAACAAGCTGTTCAAAATTTCAGGAGACAGCTCTGTTCCTTCAGTTTTGAAATGCTCTCTCCTACCTCCATCCCATCCTTCCTTCTCTTCCAGTTGACTGTGACTTCTACTTTTAAGATGCAGCCTAAATGTTTTTCTTTGTGAAAATACTTCCAGCTCCCCAGATAGTGCCAACATTTGGATATGCCTCTACTAACAGAACTTGGATTTAGTTCATTGAGGAGTTGTGGCAATATTGTCTCTTGTACTTCCTATATTGAGTCATGCTCTTACTCACCGTTGAGTGTCTCACACCAAACACAGTGTCTGGCGCACATGTATTTCAACTTCATCCCTCAATGCTCTGTAACACAAGTGGCCTCACAGTAAACTGAGCTGTACCCATTTGCCTTCTATAACTTCATTTCTATAACCTTCTAGCAAACTCAAGTTTTTGAAGAATCTTCTTAGAAGAGCTACTGTGGACAAGTCTTAAAAGACTACT